ATATATATATATGCATATTTCTGACGCGACTTGAAGTTCAATTCAGTATATTTACTTTCATAAGTACATGCCTATATAAAATGGAATGTGAATTGAATTGTGAATTGTTTGTTGTGTTCAATGCATGCACGCCAATCTATAATACTGTGATATCCAACACAAATTGTTTGTACCATTAGAATTCATTCAAAGAATGTGTTTATTGGCGCAGTATTGCTTTTCCGTGCATTTGGAAAAGGAAATCGTTTTATTTTCGAGTGTGTCGATCCATTTTTATGACATAAAGGAATGAAAAACAATGATATCTATTGAATACTTTCACAATAGCGCCAATCATTGAACATAATTTACATCGGCACTGTACTTGCAATCACAATTCTATAAAATGCGATGTGCTTTTCAGAGGGTCAAATCGAATTCCGGATTCTCTTCACAACAAATCCCATTCAGGAATTTTGATTCATTGAAATATTTTGGAATTTTTCTTTTAATTTATCCTTTTGTCAATATAAGCTGAAGAGTAAAAGATTGCCGTAACAAAACTGTATGGGGCATGCTTTATTTTCAAATGTTCTATTGATTTTTATGAAAGCAATGGATGTTAAATTATAGATTTATTTTAATATGCAATTTGACCAAAACACGGCATAATACATACATATAAGTGTAATACATACATATACATTTTATTGGAGAAGTTGAAATGAAATATTATAATGTATTTAGAGAATTGTCGATTTGAAGTAATAAGGTTTTTATTTTATAGATCTTATATTAGAACCAATAAAAATAATACTAACTGTGCGAAATTTAGCTTTGTAATTTTTAAAAGAGACGATACAATATTTGGACGGATTTTGACCCCTTCGTGATTCAGTAACAAATAAAATTAGCAGAGAATTATCAGACACTTTAAATAATTTTTTTATATATATGGTGCTTAAAATATTTTGAAACTCCTGCCTAAAGATTATCCAAATAGTTTTGAGAATATATTGATTCAAAGAAATGCCTTTTTGGGGGGGGGGGGGGGTGGTTTATTTTGCAGTAAACTTATAACTGTACGATGCAAAACCTCTTTAACATTGTCGATTTTCATCAAGATTTTTCATTAATCACTCGCTAAGTCAAAAGAATGCAAGAATTCATCAACTAACGACAAACCTATTTGCTATTATGTTCTAGTGACGAAAGTATTTCGAAACAATTCATCATATTTTCACGTTACGCGATACAAGTGTTGAGAGCGTTTTTGACCGCTGATCTTGCATAAGGAATGTAAGACAATGAATACCAGGTCATGGCAATCGATTGAATGACAATGCACACAAGCGCAAGTAAACCTTTTTTGAACTGCAAAAAAAATATTTAAAAAATAATGAATGTGTTTTTTTTCTCGATGATTCCATCATCTGTGGAAGTTTCGGTTTATAGGAAAAAATATTTATAAATGTTTACCCAAATAGCCGCCATTAAAGTACAGATGAACGAAATTATCACAATGATTGAGGCTATAAATCTCTTTTCAGAAAACATATTTTTCATCTGCTTCATCGGGCCGACTAAAAAACACGTACTATATGTGCATTAAAGTTGGGTTTTGACCGTTATTCCACGTTCCGATGTGCACAACAACATAGAAAATGAGTAAAATAATGGAACAAAACACTTGAGTATTCATTGCTCTTAATCTGGAAAATAACATCATACCTAGCCATTGAGACAACATTCCCTAAAGTATAGAAGATGGCAAACCGTGTCATTCCGAAATGCAGAAGTAACATAAGCGATCCCAGCAACGAAAATATTATTCCAATAACGAAGCATACACAGAAACCCCTTAACCGCGTCGACCAACTAAGCGTAGTAAACTCATCAATCTGAAGAAATAAATAGCAACACATTAAATCGACTCCTTCTATTGATACAAATTTTTGGACACTTTCCGTATCCTAAAAATAAATTTTTCTTTGTGATAATCTTGGCACCTACATCACCCATGATACCGCGGTTCTCATCGTTTGTTGTTTCATCGTTTCCACTCAATACACGTTTTAACTTATCCATTTTGCAACAATTAAAAAAAGTAATCAAGAAAAGAATATAATAGAATTAATCATGAAAATGTTCAGGTAAACAATAATGTTAATATTGTTCAAAAATGAAGTAAATTTGGAGTTCGGAATTTGACATTTGGATAATTTCATATGCGTAATACATAGCTGACAACTGCACTCAGTTGACGTTAGTTTCAACAACAAAATAACACTATAGAGTAGCGCCATCCCATTGGCGTAAATCGAACAATGCGATCATTTCAGAACTTTTGTCATTCAAATTGTGTGAAATACAATTGTGTGAAATTGTAAAAAATGTTAGATTCATGTGGATTTGTTTGTTTGAAATAGGCCCCTATTGATGTGACGTCGAATATCACATCGTTCTCATAAAAACATCCTGTGCTTAATGCTGAAACTGTTTCTTTTTTTATATACATAAAATCATATATGGTTTTGCACAAATAACATGGGATTGCTATTGTTTCATGAAGATTGGCAAGTGACAATGATGTTGGATGCTCAGTGCAACTCGTTGCGTGGATGCATTTAAAGCATTATATGAACGCATAAAAATATTCATGATCTCTGGAATTTAGTTTGTTTCATTGCCTCATGCTAGGGGGAAAGATCAATTGGTCGTACGCTTTTATCTATGTTATTGGCTATTCATCGTTATTCATTGGTATATTGGTGTGAATTGGTCAAATAAATTGAATATTCGTGTCAATCGTGTACATTTAATGTGAACTCAACATAAAAATATAGAACAATAGAGACCGATGTACGCCGATATCTGCCAATATGCAGATAAACGCTTATTTTTGAAAAATAACAATACATCAGCGAATTCGTTTAAATTCACGTTTAAGTGCCACGTACTTTTGGTTAAAGCGCTGTACCTAACGCTATACTTCTACCTGTATCTGCTTCTTATATCAAACGAATCTTTGAAAACTGATTATGCATGAAATAAAAAATTAATAGAAACCAGAATCTAAATTTACTTTTAATTACTATTTTCTATAAACCTAGCTATGAACAATCACATATGAATTACCCTACGAAATTATGTTTAGTTCATGACACTTGATAAAGTTTAAGTGCTGCGTATTTAAGATAGTACTTAATTGCCGTAGTACTGGTCTAGAAATAAATTACACTAGAAATGACATGATAAGTTTGCTGATAAATAAGTACTTAAGTACGCGGTACTCGAGCAATGGCCTAAGTACGCGATACTTGAGCAATAGCTTAAGTGCGCTTCACCTAAATATCTCTACCAATTTTAGTACGAAATATTGGTATATCGGCGAAATATTCAAATATCAGTTAAATATTTGTAAAAGGTCATGGAATCGTTACAAATTATCATTATTTGTTATATTGAGGCTTATTCAGAGGAAAAAAAATTGATCTTTCCCCCTAGGCATCATGTATCTGTATAAAAAGTATAGGTATATCATATTATTGGAAAATTTGTCTATGTTCAATGTGATAACCAAATTCATTCGCTAGATATCCATGAATGATGACTTTTGCAGTCATTAAGGCCGTCACAACAATGTTAGTATTAGTATTAGTATATCAACACCGACAAAAGACTGACTGACTGAATATTCAGTTTTGCTGGAAAATGATTCCAAAAGAGTCAAGAAAAACCTGATAATTTGATTTTTGTACAGTACATAGCTTGATTTTACATAAATATTGGTCCTCGACTAGCCAAAAGAAAAACCTAATTTATGAAATAAATTAATAAATAATTTTAATTCGAATGACCAAACACAACGGAGTGACAACTTCTAAAAGAACACTGACGCGCCACCTACAGTTGGAAAAATGCATATGTCAAATTTCATGTAAAATTCAAAAGTTGTTATACAAAAGTCCGTTAAGTATTCTGTTCTCTTGGTTCATTCTCGGCTACTGTCCATTTTTTTCAATTTAAAAAATGATTGGATCATTTGAAATTCGTTTATAATTTTATTTTGATATAATTGGTGCGCAAGTGGAAGTTCTCTACACGGACTTCAGTAAAGTGTTTGATAGAGTTAACCACAAGAGATTGATTCTGAAACTCAGATCGTTCAACCTGCCAGACAATCTTCTTGCTTGGATTGAAACATACTTGTCAGACAGAACGCAATTCGTCAAGTATGGAAACAGCGAGTCGAACGAATTCGGCGTATCATCTGGCGTACCACAGGGAAGTCATCTCGGACCCACACTATTCCTGTTGTTCATCAACGACATAGTGGACGAAATGGACGACGTGTTCATTTCCTTGTTCGCCGATGACGTGAAAATCGCCAAAATCATCCACTAGAGCACGGATGCTGAGGCGCTACAGCGAGCCATCGACAAACTGAAGGTGTGGTGTGACGTAAAAAATTTGCGCCTGAACCTTGACAAATGCGCAGTCCTTACAATCACCACAAAAAGGAAGGACATTATCGATACTAATTACAAATACGGTGATTTTACTTTCAAGCGCGTTTCGGACCACAAAGATCGCGGCGTCATCATTAAGCCTCTCAGATGGGGGGGGGAGGAATTCGGGGAATTTCCCCGAAAATGAACATCATTTCCCATCTAAAATCCAAATTCCCCGAAAAAAAAAATAACAGCGCTAATAATATGTCGCGCGCTCTCTAAATATAGAGCATAGCACATTTTACTGCAAACGGTAGTTTGTTTACACAATTCTTCGTGTTTATCCTTTATTCTTTGTTCACTGTTCGCTTCACAACCATAGGGTGGAAGCATCAACGAAATTCAAATTGGCGCGCTGTTTAGTTCAGAAAAAAATTACGAAATTAAATTGATTTTCCTATTGAAATTGAGGGCGCTCGCGTCGCTACAGTTGTCATTCAAGTCTTAGCTTCCACCCGATGTTCACAACGTCTTGCGTTTGTGTTCGTGTATGTGTGTGCAAGTGTCAGTCGCGTAGAACATCATTTGCAAAATAAATTTCATCCAGACTTTGAAAACGAGTATAAATGCACTTACCTCACGCGCATATTGTCAAACATGGACTAGTGAATATTGTCAAACATTGACTAGGGGAATGTGTGGCGCTGTTAATTTGACAGTTACTAGTTGATGTTACAGGGGCGGAAACTATTGCTATACCCTTATCCGATACTGTCAATATATGTAACTATGTTTAGGATAGATTTCTATCTCCAGTGTGAATACGAATGTAAGAGGCTTTTTGCGATGTAACATAACCACACACATGGTACTTTTTCTGCTGTCATATCTTTGCCGATTTATTCCTTGAAATCATCCGTTTGTTTTGCTCCCTTGATCCGTTGCGTTTCTTTGCATTTCAATTTGAATTTGCTGATGACACATTTCCTTCATCTGAATTTTTTTCTTCACGGAGAAGTGAATCCTTTCACAGCATTCAAATTATATCCAACATATTTCAATACTTATAATATTTGTGCGTTCCATTGTTTGTGCAAAATGTGAACAAAATTGTCTGCTTATGTAATTTCTCTTACAATTGAGACTAAAGCTGAACGTCGACTGAATGTGGAGTGATATTGTGTTGTACGTGTGTGATTTCTGATTGAATACGATTGACATTAAACTCCGTCTCGTTTCTTTCCAATGTGACTTCGTTGCAAATTGCACTATTGGCAATATTTAAACTTAATAAACAGGTACACATTGGTTAATACAGCTCCAAATTGCGAAATATAAATTATTCGTTCAATCCAATAGAAATCTGTTTGGAATGTGTATGTAATCGAAGAAGAAATGCGAATTCTGATTCGAATGTGAATTGCAAATACAAATTCTATTTGGAATGACAATTAAACATTACAAAAAACTTTTTTATTACTACACCAACAAAATGGCATATGCCATATATTCTGCAAAATCCCTATTGCGAAGTTCTGGGCATCGGCGATTCATCGATTAACTGAATTTGCACGGAGAGTCGCATTCTACGAAAAAATTGATGCCAAAAATACATATCGACTGGCTGAAAATGGCTCACAAAAGGCCATATCCGCTCAATTTCCGACGAGCAATCGATAAAAAGTGGCTACAAATGCGATTTGAGACCATTTCATTTTCACAGAAAATGGTGTTTTTGTTCGGAAAACACGTGAAATACAGCTTTGGCGAAATTCTGGTCTTGGCAAACTGTTCGTAAAAATTTCGTAAAAATGACGGGAGGTTACGAACATTTGAATAACCAATTCCTTGTTATTTTGGTCAGAATTCATCATTTTGCTTCTGAATGTATGAAATTGAACTTATGTTTGAGGGATCATATCATAAGTGATGATTTTTTTCAGATTTTGGCTATCGTTGGAAAGGTCTTGCAGCCAACTTTCTGATGGCACACATTTTAATCTTTAACATTTAAGTTGTCATAAATTTTTTTAGCGGACAATCCAAATTGTCCGTTCAGTTTAGTATACCGGGTGTTTCATATAAATGGTTCACTATTTAAGATCTGCTCAACTTAGGACATTCTCAAATATCGGTTTTGGTATACCTGAAGATTCATAATCTGTTAGCTGAGCGCAGTTTCTCGCTTGTGAAAAACATGTGGACCGAGTCGAAATCCAACCTGGGACTACCAAAGTTGAAAGCAATGGTTTTGACAAAATACAATTGCACACAATCATGCATTGATTTTTATCACGCAATCAAAAAGAATGAAGAAGTATTGAAGACTATCCGCGGGAATCAAAAGTATAATAAAAGACCAAAGAGCGACTACAGCGACGATATATTTTTTTTTCTTATGTCTTTCGGTCTCTACTAAATTACAAATTCATAACTACCAACAGGGACTTGTTAGATTAGACGTAAAATTTTTCTTCAATGTATCACCTCTTGATAAATTGAATGATGACTTTTGCAGTCATTAGGGCCGTCACTACAGTGTTAACGCTTCAGTTAGTCTTTCATTTTTTACACGTTTAAGTTAGGCTATATTGGACCGTTTACATTTCGGCTACCTATGCATTTCCATGTATTGGTTAGGTTATCTTGTGTCAATGCTTTTTAGACCAAGTTGTTATACCAATAGAAAAAGACTATTACTTACAACTACTTATTGTATAAAATTACCATATATTGTACAAACACAAAAAGATCAGGTTTTTCACGACTCTTGGAGTCGTTTTCCTGGAAACCAAAATA